TATCAGGGAACCGTGTAATTTCACTGTTCCCTGGTATATATATAATCAGTTTCATTTCGTTTCCTACCGTATGTCAAACTGTAGAGGATGATCAAAACCATTTTTTTCACTCTTACCAACTCACCGTGTTGTAAATATTTCTATCAATTTCTGATGTATCATAAACTTTCTCTGCATTCGTTCACTCTATTTTATAATACGACGTCAATCACATAAATAATTCACACTTAGCAACATACCAAATCCGGTTTTTGTTTTCATATGCACTACTTTCCATTGACTCTTCTAGTCTCTCAACATCTTCAATTATTACCTTTTCCGTTTGTGTAACATTTACTAACTTTCTAACAACCACTGACTTCCTCAACAATAGGCCTATATTAATAACTAAATAATTACAGTATTTGGTAATCTCGCATGATATTTGTACAGGCCTCTAGCACGACGCAAGGCTAATCTTGGATTGGTAAGGGTTTTTCGGTGTGAAGGACCAAGGTTATCACACGAATGTCCGAAGCGCAGTGGAGTCTTTTTGGTGGTGAATTGGGAAGTAAACCTCGTGACAACCACTTTTGTTTTAAACCGGAGAGTTCAATGCTACATATCAATTGCTAATTGTAAAGCATTTAATACATGGCTAAAGATCATAGGATTAATTTACAATGATTATATGATTAAATGCATGATCATAAGATGGTGAGATTGGTTACGCATTGCTACATTTAACCGATGTTAGTTTGCTTCGTTCCTTTCCAAAAGACACAGTTGGTCTGGCTCAGCAATAGGCCTATCCTAGGTTGGATTCACTTTCTCTTCTCGGCCAGGCTTAAGGCATACCCCCCACCCCTTCAGCTTTCTCAAAGACACAATACTAGGTCATTCTGGGTCAGACAGAGAAATATTGGTGTGCTTTTAAGGGGCTAGGTTACTATTAATATTGTAATTTTGTGCTTATAGGCTTACTACCAAGCCTTTGTTCCGGGATGGGCGGAAGCAATAGCTGATTAATGGATAATTAAGGTTCACAATAGTTGAAGGAAGTATATAAAGTTGTTAGAATTATTGGCGAAAGCCAGTTTAACAGTGCAGCTTTCCAACTTTAGCCATGCAGTTTTCAAGTCCCAAGTGCTGCTTTGTCTTGGCTTTGTTTACGGGGATCCTTCTTGCAGAGGTTAGATCACAAAGTGACCAAGTAGAGGCGAACGCGCTACGTTTTTTAGGCAGTCTTGAAGAATTTCAGAATACTCCGAGTGAGATTGTATTCTTGTTGGATAGCTCTGGTAGCATAGGGGCAGAAAGATGGCCACTAGAAGTGGACTTTGTTCGCCAAGTGTCCACTGTTTTTACCGTATCATCCGACACTTCGCGTGTCGCTATCGTGTCGTACTCATCAGAGGGTCAAATATATACACGAATAGATCACATCACTGAACCGACAGACAAAAATAAATGTACTCTTCTTGGACAACTAGATGACGCGCTGCCATTCACTAGTGGTGGAACATACACACTTGGTGCCTTAACCCAAGCCGAAACTTTACTTAAAAATGGTAGAAATGGTGCGCCGAGGTAAGATGACAATTAATGCATACAAAATGCATAAATTACATAGGACCATTGTAAAATTGATTGTTTGGCGTTAGGTTTACAATACTACACTTTATTCTATTATTGACTAAACATCTGAAATCGTTGGAACTTGCTTTTTGAATATTTGTTTTTATAGCATGCATTATTCTGTATAGGCCTATATATCACAGTATTCATAACATTAAGTGATTAAGTGTCACCTATTCAATTGATGAAATATTATAAGTTTGTCATTTTCAGAAACCAAAAGTCAAAATGCAATTTTTGCCAAAGATGTGTTTAAGTATGCTTAGAACTTCTTTTGAATTCGTCAGGAAAACGATTATACTGTATTTTTAAAAATAAATTCATTTTCCGAGTATTGATGTAAACTAAGTTTACCTGGTTTGTTTATCTGTCAGTAATTCTTCTTACTGATCGAATTGAAGTGATCTCATCTCAAGGTAATTCAAATGAAGGCATTTTCCTTCTTTAAAAAAAAATATATATTTTTACTTTTTATATATT